GATGTCGGATGGGGATTTGCTCGGGATGGATCCCTGAGCTCCAGGGGTGGGTTTTCCATCCCAAACTTCCCGATTTTCCATGCCAGCCGTTCCCATCTCCCCCCGGAGCTCCGACATGGGATGGGGAGGGGGGGATTTGCTCGGGATGGATCCCTGAGCTCCAGGGGTGGGTTTTCCATCCCAAACTTCCCGATTTTCCATGCCAGCCGTTCCCATCTCCCCCCGGAGCTCCGACGTGGGATGGGGAAGGAGGAATTTGCTCGGGATGAATCCCTGAGCTCCCGGGATCCCTGGATAGGATCTTCCGCCCTGCAGGGTGGGTTTTCCATCCCAAACTTCCCGATTTTCCATGCCGGCCGTTCCCATCTCCCCCCGGAGCTCCGACATGGGATGGGGAGGGGGGGATTTGCTCGGGATGGATCCCTGAGCTCCAGGGGTGGGTTTTCCATCCCAAACCTCCCAATTTTCCATGCCGGCCGTTCCCATCTCCCCCCGGAGCTCCGACTTGGGATGGGGAGGAGGAGAATTTGCTCGGGATGGACCCCTGAGCTCCCGGGATCCCTGGGTGGGATCTCCCGCCCTGCAGGGTGGGTTTTCCATCCCAAACTTCCCGATTTTCCATGCCGGCCGTTCCCATCTCCCCCCGGAGCTCCGACGTGGGATGGGGAGGGAGGATTTGCTCGGGATGGACCCCTGAGCTCCACAGGTGGATTTTCCATCCCAAACCACCCCCTTTTCCATGCCAGCCGTTCCCATCTCCCCACCGAGCTCCGACCTGGGATGGGGAGGGGGGATTTGCTCGGGATGGGCCCCTGAGCTCCCGGGATCCCTGGGTGGGATCTCCCGCCCTGCGGGGTGGGTTTTCCATCCCAATCCGCCCCCTTTTCCATGCCGGCCGTTCCCATCTCCCCCCGGAGCTCCGACGTGGGATGGGGAGGGGGATTTACTCGGGATGGAGTTCGGGAGTGCAGGTTCTTCCCGAGCTCCCATCCCTGTTCCCGGCCATTCCCATCTCCCCCCGGAGCTCCGACGTGGGATGGGGAAGGAGGAATTTGCTCGGGATGGGCCCCTGAGCTCCCGGGATCCCTGGGTGGGATCTCCCGCCCTGCCGGGTGGGTTTTCCATCCCGGGATTGCGGGATCCCGGGATCAGGACCACGGCCCTCCCACGCTGAGCATCCCAAGCGTTATCCATGCGGGGATATCCAGGGATGTGCCGCCCTCTCCCGGGCTCCCCGGGCTCACCAACTCACAGCCCTCCCCCCCCGCCCGGGGGTCTCCACGTCCTTCTCGGGGTCCAGCCATTCCCAGGGGATCCCTGGATCATTCCCGCCATTCCCAGGGGATCCCTGGATCATTCCCGCCATTCCCAGGGGATCCCTGGATCATTCCCGCCATTCCCAGAGCATCCCTAGATCATTCCCACCATTCCCAGGGGATCCCTCGACCATTCCCGCCATTTCCAGGGGATCCCTAGATCGTTCCTGCCATTCCCAGAGCATCCCTAGACCATTCCTGCCATTCCCAGGGGCTCCCTAGACCATTCCTGCCATTCCCAGAGCATCCCTAGACCATTCCCGCCATTCCCAAAGGATCCCTAGACCATTCCCACCATTCCCGGGGCAACCCTAGACCATTCCCAGGAGATCCCTAGACCATTCCCGCCATTTCCAGGGGATCCCTAGATCATTCCTGCCATTCCCAGAGCAACCCTAGACCATTCCTGCCATTCCCAGGGGCTCCCTAGACCATTCCTGCTATTCCCAGAGCATCCCTAGACCATTCCTGTCATTCCCAGGGGCTCCCTAGACCATTCCCAGGAGATCCCTCGACCATTCCCAGGGGCTCCCTAGACCATTCCCACCATTCCCAGTGCATCCCTCGACCATTCCCAGGGGCTCCCTAGACCATTCCCACCATTCCCAGTGCATCCCTAGACCATTCCCA